TATATCTATAGAATGTCTTCTAGTTACCCTTTATGTCAGTAGTTAGTTTGCTTGTTCTGTGCCGTTGCCCCTGCATTGCTTGCTTAGATTCATCCTTTGTAATTTGACTAGTTTCCACTTTTTATATGATTCCTTTTTGATTTTTAGATGATTCTAACATCTGCCGGTTAAGCCAGGGTGGTCTCTTGACAGATTTCCCTGTCTTTTCTACACAGTGGAATATTGTACCCTTAATAATGTCCCTTTGAAAAACTGCCAACTGTCTTCAGTTGTTTTTCCTCTCCGGGCAGGGTATAAGGTGCTCGTATCAGGAGGTGGAGCTGTAGGAATCAGGGTCTAAGCTTGGGAGATGTGAGCAGCTCAGGACAGGGGGATCAGGGTGGAGAAGTCAAGGCAGGGGGTAGGGGTCTCAGTAAAGGGTGTGGTGGTGCAGGAGTGAGGGCAGGGAGCAGTGACTCAGGGCAGGAAGTTAGGTGAGTTTGGAGGTTCAGGGGTGGGGTGATGGAGTCAGGGAAGAGTTTTGTATGTTGGGGGGCTTGGTGCAGAGGGTGGAGGTTGGCAGTTGGGACAGGGGCGGGGTTGTATGGTTCAGGACAGGGGGCTGAGAATCAGAGATGTAACTGTGGGCTCAGCACAGGGAGTCAGGCCGTGGGACTCGGCGGTCTAGGGGGAGCAGGGCAGGGGGCTGGTTGCTATAGTCAGATGAGGGGGTGTCGGGCTCAGGGCAGGGTTCTGTGTTGGGGGGTTAAAGGCATGGAGTGGACATGCAGCATTCTGGTGGTGGGTAGAGGTCTCAGGGCAGTGGTTTGAGTGTAGGGGTGCTTAGGGCAGGCTGTGGGGGGTAGGAGTGAGGGCAGGGAGCTCTTTGGGGTTCAGGGAAGGAGTTGGGGAGTCTGGGCAGGGGGTGGAGGCTGCCGGAGCCAGGGCGGAGGTTGGGGTGCTCAGGGCAGGGTGATTGTTCTGTGGGAGGCTCAGAGCAGGAAGTGGGGGTGCAGGATTCATGGCGGAGGGCAGAGGCCACAGGGAAGGGGGCTGGGAGTTGTGGGAGGATCAGGGGAGGGAGTGCCATTTAGGAGTCAGGTCAAGGGGTGGAAGATGCAGGAGTCAGGACAGGAGTTGGGAGGCTCATGGCAGGGGTGGCGGGGGGAGGCTGGGGGCAGGGAGTGGGGGTGTAGGAGTCACAGAATGGGATAGAAGTCTCAGGAGAGGAAGTTGGGTGTGGGTGGGAGTCACTTACTGCCCGATGCTCCATGCACCGGGTGCAATATATCCCACTGCTGCCACCAGTGTCACGGAGGTTTGGGGAGTCACTGGGCCCTTCATCCCCATCCACCGTTGGATGTGACTCTCAACCAGCACGTAGAAGGGAAAGTTTATTAGTCGACAAGGACACAGCATTGCCCAGATTTGTCAGCTCAGACACCAGAATCAGTCAGTACAATCCATTAGATGGTGAGGGGGGCTCAGATCTAAGGCCTCCGCTCCCCATCTCTGCATCCCCAGGCAGCAAGATTACCTTGCTCATTCAGAAGCCTGCCCCCGCCCTGGTGCACTGCACAGGGAAACTGAGGCACACAGGGGGTAATAACAGGACAGTAGAAATCACATGCAACGTAGCAAGTGAACAGAGCAAATACAATCCCACACAAAACAGACATAAGACTCTCTCACAGAGAGAAAGCTATTGCTTGCCATTTCAGCCAGACTGACCATTCCTTCGATGACCTTAAAACATGCATATTGCTTCAAAGAGACTTTAACTCCAGACTTCAATGAGAAGCTTCAGAATTGTCATTCATGCTTAAATTTGACACTTTGGCTACGTCTAGACTGGCATGATTTTCCAGAAATGCTTTTAACGGAAAAGTTTTCTGTTAAAAGCATTTTCGGAACAGAGCGTCTAGATTGGCAGGACGCTTTTCCACAAAAAAGCCCCGATCTCCATTTTCGCTATCGGGGCTTTTTTGCAGAAAACAAATCTGAGCTGTCTACACTGGCCCTTTTGCGCAAAAGTTTTGCACAAAAGGACTTTTGCCCGAACGGGAGCAGCATAGTATTTCCACAAGAACACTGACAATTTTACATGAGGTCGTCAGTGCTTTTGTGGAAATTCAAGCGGCCAGTGTAGACAGCTGGCAAGTTTTTCCGGAAAAGTGGCTGATTTTCCGGAAAAAATGGCCAGTCTAGACACAGCCCATAGGTTTATCTCCTTCCTCAAGACATTCTATGGCCATGTCTCTAGGACCAGCCTATTTCACAAGTCACTCTATGTGGTACTGGTCTCAGCTCCATAAAGTTCAACAGCCAGCAGATACCTGCTCAACTCTGACAAATCCTCTCACAAGCCATCCTTCTATTTGAGCAAACATCATTTCCCCAAAGTGAGCACTTAGCTCCTGGAACCTGAAGTCACCTGCCTTTCTCCTCCTGTTCCTTTCTCTGTGCTAGTCTTGTACCTGGTTACCACCTCCTTTCCCCCTGCTTGTTTTCCTTTTATCTTGGACATACTCCCTAGTCAGCTGGAACTTTTTTTACCCCCTGCAAGCCTGACCTTCAACCTCTCTCCTGCTCCCCTTCATTCCTCCTGTATCTCCCCCGGCTTTGATGGGGTGAGTCCTTCATCAACTCTTCCCTGTTCCTCCTTTTCTCTGTTACAGGCTTTCCCTCACTCTGGAGAGGAGGCAGGCGTTTCCTTAATCTCATCTACCTCCTGGCTGTGTGTGTCCCCTCTTCATTTCCTCCTGCTCTCCTGGGGTGTGATCTCCCATGACAATGCAAGGTTCATACCATGCTGTGCACTGTGGCAGGCAGGGACAACATGGTGGGATGTGTGTGGAGATGTTCCAGCCCATCGGCATCAGACCTTTCCCGTGCAATGAATGTGTCGGCCAGCCACCACACGTCTTGAATTCTGAGCCTCTCCAGTGGGTGTGAGCTACGTCTGGCAACCCCCAACCCTTTGGAAAATGGAGCACTTTGAGGGACTCACTGAATTCTCAGAAAGGAAAATGTCCAGGGAAGTTAAGTGAGCTGTACAGATGAGACGCAAGGTGGTGGCCACTGTCAGCAGACAGGCTACTGGGCTAGATGGACCTTTGGTCTGACCCAGTACGGCCGTTCTTATGTTCTTATGAGGTGCCAGGATTCACAGACGATTGGTTTTAGACCTTATGCCCTAAGCCCTTATCCCTCAAAATTACTGTAAAAAAGTTTCATAGCACTCCTAGAACATCTCTCAGCTCTAGAAACTTGTCCTATTGCTGAGTGCAATTGGCATTTCTGAGCATGGTCCAGCCATGCTGACTCCCAGCTCTCCTCTTTGGTGGAGAAGTGAGTCACTGGACTGTTTTGTCAATGTACGGCCAGCAAGGGGCTGAAACTGCAGCAAGGGAGGTTGAGGTTGGACATTAGGAAAAGCTTCCTACTTGTCAGGGCAGTTAAGCACTGGAATAAATTGCCCAGGGAGGTTGTGGAATCTCCATCGCTGGAGATATTGAAGAGCGGGTTGGACAGACACCTGTCGGGGATGATCTTGACCAGGGCTACTCAACATATGGTCCATGGGCCGTATGTGGCCCAAGGCCAATTTATTTGCGATGCAGTTTGGGGTTATATGGGGCTCAACACACGGCCTACAGGTGGGAGCCAAAACAAAATAATCGTCATTATAATGGTCTTGTGTTCATATGAGTTTTAATAGTTATATTCCTGGCCTGTCATGGCTCATTCAAAGTGCTGTAATTTGGGTGAAAATCGGGTAAATATTGCATTGTATTAATATCAGTAGAATTGACTTACATGGGGCCTGTGTGCTGCGTAGTCTTGTCTTAATCTTTGTATGCATGCCTGTCAATGTGAAAGAATCAATTTGCATATATTTGCATGTATATTTGCATGTATATACAACTACACTTAAGCTGCGACCTTCAACATATGCTGTGAGTATCAGTGTGGCCTTTGGGGCTTCCAAAGTTGAGTAACTCTGATCTAGATGGTGCTTGGTCCTGCCGTGAGGGCCGGGGACTGGACTTGACGACCTCTCGAGGTCAGTTCTAGTGTTCTGTGATTCTATGTGAATATACACTGGTGATGTGTGGTAGATTCCAGCTCTCTGAAGAAAGATGACCAAGCAAATAAAGCAGCCTCCACTAACTTAAATGTGACGACCCACTTGTAGGCCAATGGGGAGGACCAAGTACAACGTATTCCGAATCTCAAGATTTGACTGAATTCTTCTTACCATAGAGCTGCATTCAAACCAACTGTCTGCAACTATAGCCCCGGATATTGTGAAGCGCACGCTCTAGTCCAGTTTTAAAACCACTGGGGGGGTGTCTAGACAACAGGGATTGTTTGAAAAAACTGGACTTTTTTGGATAAATGTTTACCTGCATCTAGACTGCAGCCACACTCTTTTGAAAATAAATCAAAAGAACGTGGCAGTTTTTTGGACCATGGAAAACCTCATTTCACAAGGAAGAACGCCTTTTTTCAAAAGTGCTCTTTCAAAAAAAGGTGCTATGTCATGCAAACTGTGCTTTTTTTGAAAGAGAGCATCCAGACTACCTGGTTGCTCTCTTTCAAAAAAGTGGCTTGCTTTTTTGAAAGTACTGGTTGTCGTCTAGAGGCACTTTTTCGAAAGAGGCTTGCAGTCTAGACATAGCCTGGGCGCAAAGCAAGAGAAGACAGATGCTGAATTTCTCAAGGGTTTTGTTTGAATTGATGTATTCTCAAGGCCGAATGGAATTACTGACTTGTAAATACATTCACCCTCAAAGGAGGCTAATCCAGGTTCAGAGAGGATGCCCAGTATTCTTCAGAGCTTAGTGTGGAAACGAGGAGGGTGGTGAATATCTAAAGCGGTGGCATGTTGTCTTCATTTTCCTCCAAAACCAGTCAGATGGCCACAGGTAGGCAATACCCAGATGCTACACATGGATTCACAAAGTTCTGATAATAACAAGTACATATGTATTATGTATGTAAATTCCTGTATTTGTTTAACGATAAAAAAATCGAAGGAGAACTTTTCTCAAGGCTTCCTTTACCTCCTTGTTTCTCAGGCTGTAGATGAGGGGGTTGACCAGTGGAGTGAGGACTCCGTAGAAGACAGAGAAGACTTTATTGAGGTCCCTCAGGGCATCAGACTCTGACACCAAATACACCATGATCAGGGTCCCATAGAAAATGCTCACCACGATGAGGTGGGAGGAGCAGGTGGAAAAGGCCTTTTGCCTCCCGCTGGTGGATGGGATCCGCAGGATGGTGGAGATGATGTACACGTAGGAAGCCAATGTCAAGAGAAATGGAGGCAGGGTGAAGATGGAAGAGGATACAAAACTAGCAACTTTCACCATGTGGGTGTCAGTACAGGAGAGTTTTATTATTGGACGAAAATCGCAGAAGAAGTGGTCAATGGTATTGGGGCCACAGAATGTTAATTGTGACATCATAAAGACAAAGACGGAAACAGACACGAAGCCACCTATCCACAAGCCAGCCACCAGCTTGAGGCACAACTGGCCATTCATTCGCGCCGCGTAGTGTAGTGGTTTGCATATGGCGAGGTACCGGTCATAGGACATCACGGAGAGGAGACAGCATTCTGTACCAGCCAGAGAACCAAAGACATATAATTGTGCGATGCAGCCAGCAACAGAGATGGTCCTGTCCCCCGTCAGGAGACTGGCCAGTAGCCGGGGCAGGATGGTGGAGCTGTAGCAGGTCTCCAGGAAAGACAGGTTCCCCAGGAAGAAGTACATGGGGGTGTGGAGATGCTGATCAGCCACCACCAGCGCCATGATGAGGAGGTTCCCAGCCATTGTTGCCAGGTAGATCACCAGGAAGAGCAGGAAGAGGAGACCATGTAGTTTAGGGAGGTCTCGAAATCCCAGCAGGATGAATTCCATGATGGTGGTTCCATTGCCCTCGGGTATGTGTGTCGTGGGTTTCATCTAGGGGCAATAATACAAATTTCACAATTGAGAATCCAACTTGTGTTATGCTTAAACGAAGCACATGAGATCTTTTATAGGGGAAACGGCAGTACGCCGCATTGATTGAGAATACAACAGTTGCATATGCTTTTCAATCACACACAAACACCATGCATACACAATCCTGCCAGATGATGTCATAGTTACCAATCCAGAGTCTGTGTCAATCTAGCGGCCAGCTAGATCGAACACAGGGGGGAACCTTTGTTGGTCGCAATCCGATGCTCCTCTGGAGATGGTGTCTTGGCAAGACGAACCCAAAGTTCCATAGCAAAGCACCATGCTTTTATCATCCTTTTCTCTGTTGAAATCCATGGATCCCGCTCTGTGAGCTTGTGACTGGAATGCTATCTTGTTGATGCCAATCATTCCCAAACATCTCTTGACAGCTCATACTGTCCTGGATTGAATCAGTTGTTTTCAGGGGTGCCCACCCTTCACCGTTAGAGCCGTCAATTTTGCCAATCTGATCAATTCTCAGCCTACGCACTGATGGTTTCTCTGACACCGGTATGTCTTCCCAGTCTGTCTTTTACAGTTGGTCTTCACCTCACATTCTCCCCCTTCTCTCTTGACCATCTGACTCTAACAACAACCTTCACATCCTAGCTCATTCATGCAAACAGTCTTTCTCAAAGGTAAACAGCAAAATCAAAACAATTCACATCAAAGGCCCTGGCCTTCAATATTTCTAATCTCATTTACATAGTCACAATACCCAGAACTCTGTCTCTTTACTCACTATACTTTAAAACAAGGAAATATAGGAGATATATACTTAACTAAAGAATGTAACTTATTACAATATTAAGTATGATTATATATTACCTTACATTGCTATATTACTAACCCTAAACTACAAATATAAAAAGAATAAAACTTTCAGTTCCAAAACTTCTACCTGTTCGTCACCAACCCAATGGATGAGCCAAGTCGCCAGACAGTGGAGGCATTTGGGGCAAATGTTTCAGAAAAAGGCTCAAGTTCATTAACACTGGAATGTAATTACTTATAATTGAACACGTCACCCTCAATACTACAGTATTCCTGCCAGCATAAAGGATAAATGGACTACCGGGTGGGTGGATCACTGGACTCAAAGGGTCGTGATCAACGGCTCGATGTCTGGTTGGCAGTCAGCTTTAAGCGGAGTGCCCCAAAGGTCGGTTCTAGGGCCGGTTTTGTACCAGGACCCCTTAACTCTATACATTGGAAGAAGTGGGTTGTGCCCATGAAACCTCATGATGCCATCTACATGTTTGTTAATCTCCAAGGTGCTGCAGGACTATTCGCGGTTTATTACATTTTTTCATTTTTATGAATGACCCGGATGAGGGGATGGATTGCACCCCCAGCAAGTTGGTAGATGACACTAAGCTAGGGAGAGAGGTAGATACACTGGAGGGCAGGGATAGAGTCCAGCGTGACCTAGACATGTTGGAGGATTGGACCAAAAGAAATCTGAGTTGGTTCCAAAAGGGCAACAGAGTCTTTCATGCTGTCCAATGGTACGGCAGGTCCTGCAGAGGAAAGCCACCTTGAGGCAGCTAACAATAACAGAGGAGCCTTTCTGGAAGGTGGCTAGGGAAATAGCAGGACCCTTCAGTTGAGTCACATGGTCGGGGAAGAGGTACATCCTAGTGATGGTAGATTTCACTACTTCATAGAACACTAGGACTGGAAGGGACCTCGCGAGGTCATCGAGTCCAGTCCCTGCCCTCATGACAGGACCAAATACTGTCTAGACCATCCCTGATAGACATTTACCTACTTTTAAATATCTCCACAGATGGGGATTCCACAACCTCCCTGGGCAACTTATTCCAGTGTTTGACCACCCTGACAGGTAGGAACTTTTTCCTAATGTCCAACCTAAACCTCCCTTGCTGCAGTTTAAGCCCATTGCTTCTTGTCCTGTCCTCAAAGGACAAGGAGAACAATTTTTCTTCCTCATTCTTGTCACACCCTTTTAGATACCTGAAAACGGCTTCATGTCCCCCCTCAATCTTCTCCTTTCTAAACTAAACAAACCCAATTCTTTTAGCCTTTCTTCATAGCTCATGTTCTCTAGACCTTTCATCATTCTTGTTGCTCTTCTTTGGACCCTCTCCAATTTCTCCACATCTTTCTTGAAATGTGGTGCCCAGAACTGGACACAATACTCCAACTGAGGCTGAACCAGTGCAGAGTAGAGCAGAAGAATGACTTCTCATGTCTTGCTCACAGCACTCCTGTTCATGCCTCCCAGAATCACGTCTGCTCTTTTTGCAACAGTGTCGGAAGCACAAAGAGGTGGGGATTGCAGTCTCTTTGTTGTCTGCCCTGTGAGTTCTTCTGTCCTGGGGCAACACCTTTTGCCTGCGATGGAGAAGAAAGGGCAGAAAAGGAGATTGGGGCGAGGCTGCTAGGCATGGGGGTTAGTCTTGGGTGGTTGGGGCAGCTGGAGGGTCCTGGGTCTTGGCTCTGGGCCCCCCTCTTCCCAAGATGGATGGGCCTGTCTGGGCTTGTCCCTGGGCTGACAAGTCTGTTCTATGCTGTGTCCATCATCTAATAACCATTCTGTGCTCCCGGCTAGTTGAGGGTCACATGGATGAGAGTGGGGGGGGGGCAGTGTCCAGTGGCTCCCCACCCTTTAGACACTGTGAACAGCTCCGGGAGATTAGAGAGACCATACACCTAGGAAATGCCACGAACGTGGAGGATTCCCATTGTCCTCATATCAACACGTCCCCTCGGGCGGATACAGAGAAAGTTTCTTGGCACCAGGACAGCTCCTTGGAGCATACAGTCCTGGAAGCTGCATGAGGAGGGGCAGGTCTGGGCTTAGTCCTAAGTGGGGTGTAGGGGCTGTCAAGGTGACTCATGCACTCGGGAATAGCGACCCCAAGATAATGAAATGTTGCGTCCGTGTGTGGCACCAAAAAGGCCACCGCAGCAGCCGTTAAGTTTAGAAAGGGGGGGCTGCACCAAATGGAGGACACTGGTGGGTCAAACACTAAAAAGAAAAGTCCCCAGAGAGCCTGCAAGCTGAATGGATTTCATACACATACACACACACACACACACACACACACACACACACACACACACACACACACATGCATCGGAATAAAGGTTCAAATTAAATGCACACCCAAAAATTAACAACTCAAAAAGCACCGTAACAGGATAACTCACGTAAGCTGTGACTCAACAACCAAGTCAAAGACGGGATTAGAGGCAAGAAGTGATCCTGTTAAAACTAGAAGTTCCAGCCTTCCGGGCTAGAATCATTGTTCTGTTCACTTCGTTATCATAGATCCCAGGAGCCAGAAGAGACCTCAGGAGTCACCAAGTCCAGCCCCCTGCCCAAAGCAGAACCAACCCAACTCAATCAGCCCAGCCAGGGCTTGATGAAGCCGGGGCGTGAACACCTCTAGGGATGGAGATTCCACCCCCTCCCTAGGGCACCCATCCCAGCGCTTCCCCACCCGCCTAGGGAAAGCACTTGAGCCCATTGCTCCTCGTTCTGCCACCCCTGAGAACAGCCTCTCTCCAGCCTCTTTGGAACCCCCCTGCAGGAAGTTGAAGGCTGTTCTCAAATCCCCCCTCACTCTTCTCTTCTGCAGACTGAACAAGCCCAAATCCCTCAGCCTCTCCTCGTAGGTCATGTGCTCCAGCCCCCGAATCATTTTCATTGCCCTTCACTGGACCCTCTCCAGTACGTCCACATCCTTTCTGTAGTGGGGGGCCCAGAACTGGACACAATACTCCAGATGTGGCCTCACCAGAGCTGAATAAAGGGGAATAATCACTTCTCTGGATCTGCTGGCAACGCTCCTCCTAATGCCTCCCAATGTGCGGTTAGCCTTCTTGGCTGCAAGGGCGCCCTGGTGACTCATCTCCAGCTTCTCTTCCACTGGAATCCCCAGGGCCTTTTCTGCAGGACTTGCTCTAACCAAGTGGCCCTTCTAATACTCTTAAACCGAACCAAACTCTTAGAGGATCTTCTGATCTCCAAAGCCACCTGAGAAGTCACCTCCTAAAGTCGTACATATCTCTGCTGCTGAGCAAGAGCGATTTGCTGCTCAAAGCCCAGCTGTGACGGCTTGTTATTTGAACCTCACTTTCTTGGGACTCTTCTGATAATGCTCAGCCCCTGCTCATAATCTGAGCTACTCAAACAATCAAGAGATGCAGCCAGCATCCAACATTTCAGAATTCGCTCTACGACCAAGTGACACGCTCACATAGAGGTGCGCATCCCCGTTTGCACAAACGACCCTTCTGAGACAGCACGGGTTTTCGCCTCCCAGAGAAGGGCTCAGGCAGTTGCCTACAGGAACTGGAGTGAGTCCGTGGACAGGGCAGCTACAGAGCAGGTCCCGTTTAGAAGAGGAAGGAACTCACTCCAGTTTTGAGCAATTCACTCCATAAATCATTCCTGGACGGAACCTGGGATGTGCCTCGGTTTCCCCCACCTGCTCCTTTTCCTCTCTCTCTTGCCCTTCCATCCAGACTTTTCAGTATTTCTTTCTCTCTGTCTATTGTTGCAGTAGTTTTATTTCGTTGGGAAAGTCACCACAATACAAATAATATAACACTGAAAACTGCATTGAGTTAACATGAAAAATCAAACAAAGATGCATTTTAAGAAGTTCATTAGGAAACAATTCTGCCCTGACTTACCACCGTATGAATCGGGAATCGCTGCACTGAAGCCAACAGAGGTGAATGGCTTGAAAACTGGGGAAAGTGTGTTGGTGTCATCTTTGTCTTTGTCTTTGCCTTCTTTGTCGTCGTTGTCGTCTTCTGTGTAATGTCCCAATATAAATTCCTGCCCAATGCACCTGCACACACAGAGATTATTCCCCTCCCAGCTCCGTTCCCCAGGTGCCACATCACAACCTCCTCTATATGCTTTGGTGCTTTGGGGATAGTTCCCAAAGAGAACCTACAGTCAACGTTGCCAGGCAACCTGAGCCATCTTGGTAACATGGCAAAGAAGCCGACAACACTAATGGAATAATCACTTCTCTGGATCTGCTGGCAATGCTACTCCTAATGCAGCCCAATGTGCCATTAGCATTGTTGGCTACAAGGGCGCCCTGTTGACTCATCTCCAGCTTCTCATCCACTGCAACCCCCAGGGCATTTTTTTGCCAAACTGCTGCTTAGCCAGTCGGTCCCCAGCCTGTAACAATGTTTGGGATTCTTCCGTCCCAAGGGCAGGACTCTGCACTTGTCCTTGTTGAACCTCATCAGATTTCTTTGGGCCCAATCCTCCAATGTGTCTAGGTCAGTCTGGACCCTCTCCCTACTTTCCGGTTTCTTCTCTCTTCTCTCCTTTGCCCCTCACCTGTCGTAATTTGCTGCAAGATGAGTCCTTAGCACTAATTTTCTGCCAGTCCTTGGTCCTTCCCACTCACTGCTGCCAAAGTTGTCCACTTCTTCAACTCATAGAACCCAAATGTGGCCGTTCCATCTGCTTCCTCTCCAGACTGGAGCAGACCAATCTGCCTCCCAGCTCGCAACAAATGGATATGAGAAGACATTAATGCCCTAATGGCGATTGTTGAAATATTTTCTGAGGCCTAAGT